TAATAATAATAATGATAATAATAATGATGGTAATAAAACAACTATTATTATCATAGCAATAATAATGATAATAATAAGTGAATTAATTAATAACTGAATAAATAGATAAATATCAATATATGATAATAAGACCGCTAATCCCCGCCCCCCCTCCTCCGCCCACATAGCTGCTGGACATGAAGCTCACCTCCTCCCACGCCCACGCCACGTCGTACGGGGGCGCGGAGACGGGCACGCCCACGATCCTGCAGCAGTATCAGCCGCCCGTGTCGCTCGCCCCGCCCACCTACGCCCACGAGCAGCCCAGTTCGCCGCCCTTCTCGCCCGAGCACGCCTTCGAGGCACAGAGGTCGGCCAGGAGCTCGCAGGAACTCTACAACCCGACCTACGAGGAGATCTCCACGGGTGAGTTTTTAGGGGGGGGGGGGGGGAGGTGCGTGGGGAAGGGGTAGGGGGTGAGCTATTTTTTTAAAGGGGGTTAAGGGTGAGTTTTAGGGAGGGGGGTGTTATAGGGAGTGGGGAATGGTGGGGGGTGAGTTTTTAGGGGGTAAGTGGGGGGTTAAGGTTTGAGGGGGTTAGTGGGGGGGATAGAATAAGGGGGTATAGGTAGAGGTTGGATGAGTGGGTGAGTGAGATTGGAAAATGAGTTTAGGGTGAGTTCTGGGCTGAGTGGCTGGGTGGGAGATGAGTTAATCTGTGGGTGAATTATGGGTGAGTCTAGACTGATTGGATGAATAGAGTTTTGGTATGAGTATGGTAGTGAGTCTGGGTGTAAGTAAATGGTGAGTTTAGAGCTTGGGTGTGAGTGGGGGGCGGGGTAGAGGGTAAGGTTGTAGGTGAGTCATGAGTGGAGTGGAAGGGAAGTTTAGCTTTGGGAAGTTAGGTAGTAGTTGTGAGTTTGTCTATGAGTGAGTCATGGATGAGATCAGGGTGAGTTCAGTGGCGTCAGTGGGTGAATCTGCGAATGGGGGGTGGTGGTTGTGAGTCTGCCGCTGAGTCTGTGAGTCATGAATGAGTCGAGTGCTGGGTGAGTTTGGTTAACTTCGTGAATGAGTTAGGTATGAGTGTGCGTTATTTTGGTGGTTGAGTGAGCTGAATGAGTCATCAGTTTTGTAGGTTGAGTGAGTCATTAGATGAATACTGAAAAATAACGATGAGTGAATGACTCTTGAGCAAGTGAATACCATGGTGAGTAATGGGGTAGATGGAGGAGAAAGCGATAAATTAGGAGAAGGGAGGTATAGCGATAGGAAGCAGTACAGACCGGGGGATTTTTGTCATTCATCCGATGTTATGTAAATTAGGAATTTCCAATGTAAATAGACGTTGCATGAACGGCAGACAAAGCCCGATACATTTACCTGTTCCGTATTTCTCTCCCGAAGCACCAACTTCTGTGGATGTCTGATGTATTCTGGATTTGTGATAGTCAATAATCAGTCTTAATTTAATTGCAGTAATGGGCAATGTTTGGACTCTGATAATTGTGTACAGTTAGATATAGATTGTTTTCAACTATGTTGGTTTGCCTTTTATGATATTCAAATTTGATTTTGATATTCAAATCTGTCAAACTAGAAATTAGCAAAAATTAGAACCACTTGCACACGCACCTAGAGAGAGTTAGAGCACAGCCGACCCAATAGACACGCCCCTAGGCCCCCCTCCCCCCCACGCTTTGACTGGTAGTCCTGCGAGCTCTGCCTCGCCAGCCGCCGCCGAGGCCCGGGCGTGACCTCTCTCTCGTTCCCCGCAAGCTGCCGTTGACGGATTAAGTGTGTCGTCCTCAGGTAGCGACTCCACCTCCGTCAGTAGCGCCAGCGTCAGCTCGGAGGGCGCGGCGCCGCCTCAGCCGCGCGAGCGCATCGCGGAGGGGCCCGGCCCGCCCGCGCAGGTCCCGTGGGCGCCACAGGGCAGCTGCTCCTGTTCGACGCGGCGCTCGACGCAGGGGCGGCGGGGCGCGCGCGGGGGGCGGGCCCGGAAGCCGCGCCCGGCGGGCAGCGCCACCAGCACGGGCACGACGGAGGGCAGCGAGTACCACGAGGCCCTCCTGCCGCAGCTGGCGCCGGCGCACCCGCTCAAGGGCGGCGGCGTGCGGCACCCAGCGCTGCCCTACACCATCCAGGGCACGAGCGACGGCCGCACGTCCACGTCGTCGTCGTCCGACCTGCCCGTCGACCGCATCGTGGCGCCCCGCGAGCCGCGCTACTACGTGGGCCTCCCCGCCCACGCCCGCAGCCCCGCTACGCCCGAGGGCTCGTCGGGGACGCCCTCCACCTCGGGCGGCGAGCGGCCCTCGCCCACGGAGCGCGGGCTGCCGCCGCTGCCCTCACGCAGCGACCGCTACCGCATCTACTTCACGACGGAGCGGCGGCGCGGCGGAGAGGGCGGACACCCGCCCGCGGCCGCCGCCCGCACGCTCGACCCCGCCCGCAAGCGGCAGAGGCGCCACGACGCCAGGGACACCTTGGAGAACGAGCCCCTCTACCACGAGCTGTAG